AAATATATAGTGTTCAGTACTCTGCATGCTAGATCTTCGCATGTATCCCGCGGAGTTTTGGTCTTGTCTTGCTAGTTTTTCTACCTCGCCCATACAAATATATAATGTTAACCGAATAGGCAAATGAATGTCAAAATATGCACTCCTGTATCCAAAACACGTACTCATGTATCTACCCATGCGTGCATACATAAAAACATACCTATCTATATACATTCGTATGTGCATATGTAGCGCTGTACCTTAATTGCAGTACTTAACCTTCGCATTGCCTATACCAATCTCAGCTGGGTGGTAGTGGCTCGTTCATGTGGCAATTCCAGAGCATTGCACCACCGGCCCATATTCAACAGATTGAGGTCATCAACATACTCCATCTATTTATAAACACGCTCACGACGGTCATCACCACCAAGGTACGTGTGATTTACTTACATGTAGCTGCATGTATACCCTAGTCCTATATTTATCTAGTCGTTCAAATTCCTGTTCAGATTAACTTATTAAATCTAAGCGTACATTCCAACTTTGGATAGTGGTTCCCATGTATGTGGATATCATTGGTCTATGCACATACTCGATCATGCTAAAACCCTAAAACCCTTAAACCCTGCAACCCGACGATAATTAGATTGATGTCTGCGTGCTGTTGTCGGGGTATATCTACATTCTCAATCTACTACTATATACCGATCCACCTGTTTCCGAACCCTAAAACCCAATAAGCACGCACTGTATGAGTCGGTATCAGTGGTCAGCACACCTTTTTGTATACGGTCAACATTGACATTGACACTTGTTAGTCAAAGTTTGTGGTTGCTTTATATCCACCTGGGTGCATTGAATACATAGTAACCATTACTAAGAAAAGTGGTGAAATCTTATGCTTAACTAGGGATCTAGGTGGTGGTTGATTAGGGAGTAGAGTAGAAAGAATGCCCCATCATCCAGGCCAATGGATCCGTCATCCTTGACGCAGTAGTCGATCTAAAACCAGGTTTTTTATTTTCTGTATTGCTACAAACAAAAACCTCGCATATAAATCAGAAAACGCCTTACTATCTATTGTGGTACTACAGATACCCGAAGGTACGGAAGCCGAGAAGTTGCTGAAGAAAACGCTCGCAAACTCGCACAATCAGCTGAACGACCTACTGACAGGCTTGTTCTCGGCCGCTTCGTCGAACATAGTGGGCAAGATTGCGCTGCTGCACTTCCAAGACTACACACTCGAGGGTGTGAGTGGCAAAGGTGTGTGTGGTGTACTTGGTAATATAGGTATACGGAATGTGCAGTTCTGTCTATGTTCCGGGGTTTAGCTTTTATATAGAGTTGTTTTAATATATATATATG